TATCGGTATCGGCCAAAATTTTCATATCGGTGCATCCCTAACATAGACAGAAAACATTTTAGCATATGGTTACCATTTGAAATTTTCCTCTCATTAAATTTTTTTTGCCTATTTGTTGTTGCTTGTGTTATAATCACATTTTTCATATATTGTAGAGTTTTGATCAATTCAGTGTTTCCCATTCATTAACTAGACTGTGGCGGCCCGCTTATAACATACAAGTTCTTAAACGCTGTGTTTCACGCCATTGCTTTGGCAAGTATCGGTCAAACGAATTAAAACCGAAAGCGTAATATGACTTATCAAGTCTGTTTGCGCTGCTTGTTTCAAAGTGAAAGCTAAATAAAAGTTCAACTGAAGTTTCAGCCAAAATAAAAGCTCAAGGGTTTATCTCTTGCAAGCATGGCCTAAAATGAACAGACACGCACAGTGAAAATACTGTACAGGTACAGCAAGCTCACTGTTCAGAAGAAAAATATAAATGTTGGGGTTTATATGAATGTATTTCTGAAGGGAACTGACTTTACAAAAGGCATTTTTTCCCCTCTTTCTGATCCACTGATCCATAACCACCACCTGCTGTGAATTTGCGTTCTCATTCAGCCTGTCTGTTTTTGTTTCATGCAGGTTTTATCTTTGTATCTTTGTTTGTATGGTGATTAAAATGCAGTGGTTGGTTCTAATTTCAAATGGCTTTTATTTATTAAATATGTTTAGTTGTTGTAGTAGTAGCAACTGCCCGTTTTTTGCAAGAACAGTTTAATGGCAAGGAAAAATATTTATGGCTGGTCAATTTTCTTAAGTCATTAGCCACTGGCAGATGTGAAAGTTAGTTTTAGGCCCTGCTTGCAAGTGTAGAAATGAGGACAAAAGTATTGCATTTTCCCTACAGTAGAGTAAGGTCAAATAATATACCTGAAAAAAAATAATAATCATTTATTTCACAGTGCAATTGTTTTACAATATATGGCTATAACTGTCATAGGCATAATAATATACAATTATTATTATTGTTTTATTCTAATTAGTTTGGCTTTCAAATTCACCAGTGAGACTGAGACACTATATCACACAACTAAAAAGAGGGTTGAGTCTCCTTTAAATTTCAAGAACGAGTACATTCACCAGCTTTTTTCTTTTACTTTGCACACTCAACCTGTGTTGGAGCTCTTAATTTTGAACTCTCAAAGTGTACCAGATTTATGATTTATGAATTTATGAATGTGCCAGAACCCCCCTAGAGGGATCGAGGACCACCCACCACAGTCTCGCAAAATCCTGTGGGAAACACTGCAATTTATCAATTGATTTTTTTATCAATATTCTGATATTCAGATTTCATCAAATTTTATGTCAACACAACATATTCTTTCAGTTGTTTGGAATTTAACACATGAATTGAGATGATAATTTATTTTACTCATAACCTGTAGTTTATATATTTTGGGGGTTTGTTAAATATGTTTGTATGGTAATATGTGTTAATAAATCATGTGTTTTTTAAGATGCAGAACATTTTTTGATAAATAAGGGATGGCCCACTTTACCTGAAATTAAATGTGTCTGGAGTGCATGATCTCAAATATGCTTATTGGTATATACCTTGCAAATAACACTTTATATGAACTGTATTTAGATTTAAATATTATAGCTAGACCTTAAAGTTAACAAAAGTAATAAAGAAAAGGGGGAAAAAACAGGTTTTACAAAAAGTGGCCAACTTTGCCTGAATTCACCCTACTTAAGGACTTTTAAACTTTATACTTTAAAAGAATATTCTTAAGTGTGAACTGAATGTAATGTTTTCAGACAATTGCATGTTAATTGCAATTAAATGAAAATGCATTACAGTTTAAATTTATATTAAATGCAG